GCGCTTGGTGATGTGAGAGCCTGGTCCGGTGAGAACCCGGCGTGCTCCGTCCCGGCTTTGTAGGGATGCGAGGTCAATGGTCTAACGACTACGGCATGCATGACTATGAGTACACCCCCCCTGAGTACACCCACCTCCCTGCCTACTCTGCTGTGTTGGGTACCTTGATCTCGCTTTGCTGTTGCCTTTGTTTTNGCCGAATATCTCACGGCGCTTCGCGCTTGGTGATGTGAGAGCCTGGTCCGGTGAGAACCCGGCGTGCTCCGTCCCGGCTTTGTAGGGATGCGAGGTCAATGGTCTAACGACTACGGCATGCATGACTATGAGTACACCCCCCCTGAGTACACCCACCTCCCTGCCTACTCTGCTGTGTTGGGTACCTTGATCTCGCTTTGCTGTTGCCTTTGTTTTTGTACGTCTGGCTGTCTGCCCATCTGCCGCCTCTTTGTTCCTGTTTGCTCCGTTACTCTCATGCCCTGGTGCGTAGTGGTTGGTGCTGATACGTTACCCGTTGATTTTTTCTTTGGGAGGGTGTGGGAAGCGTCGTCCTATATTTTTGTTTTTGTTTTATTTTGATCGGTTTCCGAGGGCTCTTTTCTCGACCGGTCGGTGCGGTACCTGTTATTTTCTTTCTATCATTTTGTTTTCTTTTTCCGAGTGGTTTGTACCCTATTTTTGTTTTTTTTCCCACGGCGTCGTATGTGCCGGGTTTTGAGACCACGGGCTCCCCATTTTTTGTGGACTATAGAGCTAATGTGAGAAACAACAACAACAACAACAACAACAACAACAACAACAACAACTAGGCACGAGAAGATGTCCAGGAGGCCCGACTACCCTCTCTGTCCTGCCGGCATCATCGCGATAGCCGCCGTCGTGCCTCATCAAGATCGAAGATAAGTCTTCCTTCGCAAAGAGTCCAATCCGACATGCGAACACCAGGTGCTGAAGAAGGTCTCTGCTGGAGAACGTGTGCTGCAGTTCTAGCCGTGGTGGTTGTGTGTGTCGCGTGTACTGTCGTCGACATCACATGTGCCACACCCGGTACCTGGTTGTCGTACCTAACAGTGACACTAGGACGGCAGGAAGCCTGGGGGAGCCTTACCTGCGGCCATATTTCGGAGATGGCGGAGACCGTGCAGGCGGAGATAAAGGGGCGGCGCAGGGTGCAAGTCGACAAGCTGACGCACGGCTTCGGGAGGTGCTACGTGCGGCGCGAGATCTTGCGTGTGGCAGGGGTTGGAGTGACCCCGGAAGGCTTCGCCCACACGAACCCCGTCGCTGCCGCCGCCGCCGCCTACTACGTGGATCGGTGGTCCCTCCCCATGGGCTCCCCCGGTTGGACCACCTTCCGGCAAGTGGGCCACTTCCGTCACGAGGAGGGGCATCCCACGACGACCACCGGTACCAGCCACCGTGGCCGCAGCAGCACCATCACCACCAAAAGCGCCAGCCAAGCAGGTCTGCCCACTGGTCGACAAGACCGCTCCATCACATCCCGCTTCACGAGGATGCGAAGGAAAGAGCAATGATGAGGTGCGAGCGACGGCCTCCCGGCTCTCAACACAGGCGGCTGCTGCTGCCGCTCCCGGGTGGTCCAGTCTGTCAGGCTTGACGGCCCAGAGAAGACTCTCGAGGGTTGCGCCGCACACTGATCGACCAGCGCCGGCGGCGAGGGGGTCAGCTTTTTCGGCATCAGCTTCGGGGACGGGGGAGTGCTTCTTTCGTCTACGACAGCCTTCGAACGACAGCCTGTGCTGCATCGCAGCAGAATCGCTCACTGACTACCATCGGGAGAGACCAGAAGGTGCCCTCATTGTCCGCCGACGGTTTCCATCGGTTGGGAGAATGCTTGTGGGGCGTTATTGTGGCATGGTCTCCCTTCCCCGTCTTACAGCGCAATCAGTTTAGTCCCCGTTCCACCGACCCGTACTCTTATCTTATCTCAGGTGCTGGTGCGAAAGTGTCCATGGAGGATTCTAGCCAATGGACGGGTGTCAGATTGAATGCAATGGGCACGAGGGTGGTGGCAGCTGCTGAAGTAAATCGATTTGTTATGCTTGAAGATCGGAAACACGAGGGTACATGAACGAAAGCACCCTGCACAAAACTATGACGCGTCGAGCGACAACTCGTGCAGCGTCGAGTTAGTTCACGGTAAACGTGTCGTGCCATGCGTCACGTTCGTATCTGTGCCACCCGAGCTAGCGACGGCTGTACCATGTTGGCGCATTGGGTGCAAAGGTATAGCATCTGACTTGCTCCGGACATCCTCCCTTCGCCTCGCCATCATGACAGCAACAGCGGCAACGACAAGAACAGGCACCCACGCAAGCTCCGCCTACGTGTTCGGTCCGAAAGACAGAGGTGCGCCAATCGAGCGTATGGGCTGTCTCTTCGACGAAGCACGTCATGTTCCACGCAGCTGTTAATGCCGGGCGATCCCTGGCCCCCACTTGCGGTCTGCCCTTCATACCTCCACCTGCGCTTCTCCCTTCTCGATTCTCCCTTCGAGCATAGTACATTCCAAACCACGAAATCGTTTTTGGTGAGTAAGCGTTTTCCACAGAACAGAGTCCCACAAAATTATTGCGGTTCAAATACCTGGAAACGGACGGTACATTGTTGGCCCAAATACCCAAACCGCCAACCCTCAAGCTGCAAAACCTCACGCCCCGTCTCTGTTGAACCACTGCCGCCTGCAGAAAAGCGAACACACCATTCATGTGCGGACGTTCTGTACTTCCATGCGGTACCCGCCCTTCGCGCTGGAGAAGTCGAAGCTTTGTCGCTACAGGGTGATACCCGACCAACCCTCCCCGCGTGTACAACGTTCCTGCTTACATCACGGGGGGGGAGTATGAGCCGCCCCCTGGCCCTCCGAACGCCACCTTGGCTGCGAAGCCCGTTCCAGATGGGGTGCGGGTGGGAGACCCGCGGTTCGAGTGCCACTACGGGCGGTGCGGGCGCAACTCTAGGATGTGGGGCTGTGGCGGGGAGAACGCGTACGATCTCTACAGGAACGTCGATCCCTGCGTGCTCTACCGGGACTGTCGACACTGACTTGCGTTCCAATTCTCGAGTTATCTCTCCGTTGCCAATACTCGAGTCCTCTCTTGTTTTGCATGCATATCCTCCCCTCCAATCCGTAGTCGGTGAAACGTGGGCAATCGATGTTGTCGGCAAGCTTTATGGCTGCGTCCTGTTGAGGATGTCCTTGTGACTAAAGCTCGCGGGGCTCCCCCCCGAGGCTTTAGCTTGTGTAGGTGACCCTGTGGTATTTTTCCCCACGGTCGTGGAAACTCGCGAGGACAATCCCCTCCCCGGCGCGACAACGGCGAGCATCTCGACCCTCGTGAGATATTGCGCCGAAATCGCGCTTCATTGTACGGCGAATAGCCAACCGTGTATTGTATTCAAATTGCCGAAGCTTTTCAGGTTCATACTTTAGGCCCTATCATAGCGTATGTATGTCGACGACGTCGGCGCGTCTTGCTGTTGGCTATGGTGTTGGTGGTGCAGGCTTCTGCGTTTTTGAAGTTTCGACACCGCGCCACCGTTGCGTGGTAGGGTTTGAAGCTTATCAAGCGTTCTTGTCCTTGTGGCTTAGAACGTTTGTGGATGGGTAGGTTTCTCCGGCCTCTCTGGGTGATCCATAGACAGCAAGTTTTGTTTGACCGGCGGAGTTTCGTACGTGGAAACAGTGAGGCCGTGTGGTAGGTGGTTGTCCGCTCGGGTGTATGGAAGTGATATATGTTTGATTAGGGCACCACGCGGGGTGACCCACCATGTGTACCCTCGCTTGTTTCTGGGCGTGTTTACCGCGCCTGCCGCAGCACGAGGTTAGTATATTTGTCGTGCGGAGTGAAAAGCCGGTGTGATTCGTGCGTTCGCTCTCATACGCTTATGTTTTTGCTCATGTTTATCACCGCGCAAACCCCGCCGTCGAAGTTGGAGAGTTGGTGAATGTGTTCCCCACGCTTTGGTCGCAATGATGCCACCGATTCGAGAGTGTTCTCCGTTTTGTTACACGTAATGGGGCTGACACAGTTCACATTTCGAGAAGCAGAAATCGATATCTTCGTTCGCTCTAGTCACCCAAAATCGGTCGTAAACATGACGTAAACATTGTCCGCCGCACGATTCCTTTTAAGCGAATCTTCCCACCAAGACGTCAGACACTGCCGGCTCCGTGCGCCACCAACTCGCGGAACACGAAGTGGTTCAGTGAACAACAAACCTCGCGATCTTGGTGGAAATCTTCCAAAACAGAAAAAATATTTCGCCGGCTTAGCCAGCTTAGCGGGGATCTCTCAAAAACAGTGTCCACCACGTTCGCCATTCTTGTTGTGATTGTTGACGTCCATAAAATTAATAGTCTCCCCCTTATCCCCTCGCGCCCCACCCGAACCCGCAGCCGTGAACCGAAACGAAGCGTCGTGCACGCAAAATCACGTCACAATATTCATACGCGCTCCTATCTAGGTAAAAAAGTCTATCGTACAACGACCGGTTCAACGGGGCAGCACTTTTAAAATAAACGACGGCACACCCAAACGATTCGCCCCCCTCGCACACCCCTTCTGGGACCGGGTCGTAAGTCACCTGTCCCGGTCCCAACAGTCTCTTGCAAACACGCCCACCTCCAGCACAGCAGTGAGCCACAAAAAGATTTTGTCGTTCCTCTCCCACCGACTGAGGCATTTTCGGCATCTTCTCTGTGCCTCCTCTCCTCCTTCCGCAGCATCAACCACTTTATTGTGTTCGCGTGCAGAATAGAAACCTTTTTCTCCTGTAACAAGCTTCTCGGAATGCATTTCTAAGCCGAAAAAACACACCACCACTCGCGGGTGTGGTGCTCTTATGATCTGCCACGCGTCGCACCCCCCACCACCATCACCAACGTTGCCGCCACCACAACACCAACCAGCGAAGTCGCCACGGCGCGTCCCAGCCATCGCCGCGGGCAGTCACCTGCACCGGTCGCAGCAGCGCGTCTTCCCAACGTGTAGCCCACAGCCATGGCGTACAGGCGGGCGTCGACCTGGAATCCCGCGTTTGTGAATTCGTCCAGGCCTTCCTGCATCGACGTCGCCGGGAGCCTCCGGAGCGTGATGAACTCTCTGCACACACGCGCAGAAAGGCATTTAATTAGTCCCGTGACTTTCTCGCCCCACTAGAAGGAGAGGAGGAGGAGGAGGAGGAGGAGGAGGAGGAGGCAAAAATGCAATGATCCCCGAAAAGTCAGGCACACTCTCGGCGAGACGGGCCGGCGTTGATACGTTTCCCAAGGAATCATTTCCTTCTGTACAGCTGTCTGGTAGTGCTTTTCAAACGGTTGTCCTGTAATGCACAACCCCTTTTCATCAAGTGACATTCTTGTATCACCCCCCGTCGCTTTTATTTCTGGGTGGCGTCCCAGCACATAACGACCACCCTCCGGTCCAAACACCTACCAAGTGGGAAGGGACCATGGGCCATCATCGGTGATCGGTTCTGCTGAAACAATGTTCGGTCAACTAGTGGTCGCGTGGTCCATGGTCTGACCGCTAAGACATGCAAAAAACATGAGTCCCCCCCCCTCCCCCCAGTCCAAACGCTTCCACCGCCTTCTCACCCGTCTTCCGGGCGGGCTTTCGGGTTCTGGTTTTCCTCGGAGTCGCCATTAACCTCTATGGTGACAAACCTATGTGTCCGACATAGAAGACGGCGGGAGCAGCGTTTGGGGAGGCGTTGGCAAGCGCTTAGTTGTGCGTAAGCTCGCCGGAAAAATGAAATACAAACCGAAACAGAAGCAACGCCATAGGAACCAACGACGAACCGTGTTTGTTTCACCCGACCACGGTCGCGTATGCGTGTCACGTCCGACTCAAAAATCTCATCTCAAACACGCCGGCCCCCAACACTTCAAAAAAAACCCAGCAGAGACACGCAGCAACATCGACACGCCGGCACCAACCTCAAGCCAATCAGAAACAGCACCACCTACACCGCACTCGAAACACGTACCGCATGTTGGCGTCTGTCATGCCCGGGTCGCAGGGCACTATCGGCGAAACGGACGTAACCTTGCCCGAGAACCCCGTCTCCTCGAGCAGCTCGCGCTCTGCCGCTTCCTTTGCATCTTCTCCCGCGTCGACCAGACCTGCGGGGGACTCGATCACCTGAGTCCCACCACACGCAAACAGCAGGGCGGAGGACGCAAGAGTGAGGCAAAAGCTTGAGAAAGGAGAGGGGGGGGGGGGGTACTCATAGTCTTGCATGCCGTAGTCGTTAGACCATTGACCTCGCATCCCTACAAAGCCGGGACGGAGCACGCCGGGTTCTCACCGGACCAGGCTCTCACATCACCAAGCTCGAAGCGCCGTGAGATATTCGGCGAGTCGCATGAAGGCTGCGCTGCATCCTGCTAAGGGTGTTCGGCATCTTGTGCTTACTTCCTTGTGTACGGATGACAGCTGCGTATGACTGAATTGATTTTCTGGTGCTTTCTCTTCCAGAGACAGTTGTGAGCACTGTGTAACTGACTCGAGGATGCTTGACCATTTTAACACAACGTGGTGCGATCATCCCCCTTNAAAAAGAAACAGACGTAAAAAAAAAACGGTAACCTGGTTGTCCAGTTCACGAAGTGAATTGGCTTGTTTTATACGGAGGAAATAAAAAATAAACGGTAACCTGGTTGCCGAGTTCACGAAGTGAATTGGCTTGTTTTACAACGTCGTTGCCAAGCGACGAAAACCCAATCCCGATGGCAAACACCGGGGGGGGCGGCTTGTTTTACAACGTCGTTGCCAAGCGACGAAAACCCAACCCCGATGGTAAACACCGGGGGGGAACCTCGATCGGGGCGCAGCTATTACGAAAGGGGGGGGGTGCTATTTGTGTGAGGTAATGTAACGGGTGAGTCCCCGAGCGTATGCGTAGAACGGGGCGGCTAGCGTATACGAGCACCAAGGGTCCGATAGCTTCATTTTGGCAGCAGAGAAGGCGAGGTTGAGCTTTGTGATGCCAGGAATCACAACAGAGTTCGAGAGGAGAAAAAAATATAGGGGTCAATAACGTATCGTGAGGGAATGGGGAGCAACGACCAATGAAGTAGAGACCAGCTCCTACGGTGACCCCCGTCTTCCTAGAATATTGCAGCGCGGTTTCTCGTTCCCCCGCTCTACCCATGAGGCGAAGCCTGCAGCAGGACTTATAGGTAGAGGCCACGTGAAGCACAAGGACTAACGCAACAACCCTCCAAGACACATGCCGCAGCTGTACACCATTACCAAGCAAGATCAGAGCAGCTTCCCGAGGAAGCTACCTTGTCTCCGACCATGCGGCAGAGTTAGCTGTGCGGCCGCCATAACAAATGGTCAGGTCGTCGATCAAAACTAGGGGGAGCACTTTATGCGGGGAGAGGCTGGGACGGGAGGATGACACATCCCAACCACAACTGCACTGAACTCAATCAGCATATTTTTGCCGTACAATAACTTCTCAGACGACTAGCGGCGCCGCTGCGTCCCATTCTACCGCGGTCAGTGCCCTTCCAACACCACGATGTAACCGCAGCAAGAGGAGACAGTACAGTAGAGCAATGGGGTCGATTCTAGTGCTTGCATCGGCGCACCTCTGATGCAACCGGCGGCCTGTACTGGGAGATGAGCAAGATCTCGTCCTCCTTCTTGGAGACAGGGTACGAGACGAAGACGACCACGGCCACCCCGTCGCACTCGGACTTGCGAGTGTTGCGAAAGGCGCACTCCCATACCCTGCTGTTCCCCTCCGGGTCCTGCCCAAAAAAAAACAAGAGAGAGAACAAGCAGGTGCCAGGGAACAGCGATTGTAGCCTGTGGGTGTGTGTCCGTGGCGAAAACATGTCAAACGGCCCTTCTTTTGAGGGAGGGATTCCACATTAGCGCTGTTCTGCACACAGGAGGGCGATGAGTTCGTCAATGCAAGATTCGCTACCTCGTGCCGAGCCGAGCCGGGCCTCCGCACAAGGCTGTATCTCTCTCTACCGTAGTGCTACGGCTAGACTACACCCTGTTAAATTGTTACGACGCCATGACGACGCTGCAAATAGTATCGCGCAACGGTCCCGGGCGATGCAACAAAAGTGCTACCTACAGCAGTGGCACAGCTGCTACATGTAGCACCCCCTCTCTTTGGTAGGAAAGCACAGAGGCGAGACCGCACGGGGTACTGTGTCGATCACAGGTTGTGGCCGGACAAGCGATTAACTCTTAACCGTAATAACCATGCATGCATGCACTACAGCAGCGAAGTAATGCTGTGTAGTCGTACAGATGGCGCTCGCACTGAAGAGCTTAACAGGTAAGAAATGCAGCCTCGAAAAATTCAAAATTTAAGAACTTGGCCGTAAGAACACGTGCTCAGTTCCGACGTGGTATTCAAAAGAACCGTATATGTCGTTACACAAAGCGCCTTCGGATAAGAACAGATCTCCAAAAAAGTGACAGCTGCAAAATAGGAACTCGTGAAGGTGGTGAGGGGTGACTCACGGGGTGTCCGGTGACCCCACCCACCGGCAGTTTCAGATCAGCGACGAGGAGCGGGATCTCCGTTTCAAATAATACTGGTGCGGAGGGGGCGGGGGCGGGGCGTACTCTTCTGTTTTGCATATCTTAGTGGTTAGACCATTGACCACGCGTCCTCGAGAGGACGGAATATTGTTCCCACAGGCCCAAAGACCGATGGCCAATCGTTCCCTCCTACTTTAACAAAAAAAGGTGTCAATGTTTCCCCTAGCCTATCTATCCTATCGAAATCACGTCCCGCCTCTTCAACCCACGTTCTATGCCCCAGTACAGCTACGTAGCTGGTATTCCATGCCTATGCCTCAAACATCTCCCTGTATATTCTTTACACTTTTCCCACGGCTCAGTCACGTAAACTCTCCTCTCCTTGTACAGTAGACATTCCAAAACTTCATGAACCCGGTGTTCGCACTCGGAGCCGCGTTCACACTTTACCTTGGTCGGTGCGGAGGGGGGGAGGGGGGCGGGGTACTCATAGTCGTGCATGCCGTAGTCGTTAGACCATTGACCTCGCATCCCTACAAAGCCGGGACGGAGCACGCC